CACCAGCTCAACACAGAACGGGCTGAGGTATGTTACGCAGGGGGGGGAGGACGTGGCGCGGCATACGCTCGATCAGGGCATCTGCTCGATGCGAATTTTTTGCCGTAGAGTACTGCAGTAGAGGGGCGGCGGATCTATAGACGTGGCAGCAATAATGCAAAGTTTAGAGGGATCAAGGCAGTAATGGGCTCACGGTTATATCTCGGGGCTATCGAAATCTGTTCTTCACGCGGCGCTTCGTTACCACAACGGGCTACAGTGCGATGCAGAGCATCCTGAATAGGTACGCGGTCAGGTCCGAGGTTGCGGAACTCCTCTCGCTCGCGCAGGCTGCAGTAATGTAACTGGTGGCATCTTGTCTTGATCGTCGTCCAATCCTCGCTCGTGATGTCAGCATTTTGGGTGGGTGCGGCCACGCTAGATCCACGTGGCTTCCAAGGTTGGATCTTCAAGCCTCACGTCATCACCCAACTACACCTCATCACAGCTTTGTTGAGTCTCCTGTCTTCTGCGTATCGTGCCACACTGAATATCACAGCGCACGTCGGTAACACGGGTAGCTGGCCTTTCAGATGTTCATGTCGAGGTGGTCGAACCGGGTGCCAAGCCCGCAGCCACTGCCTACAAATGGCTACAGAAGTTGGCCGAGCAAATTTACCTGGGCAAAAACATCACGGGTACCAAGCTGAGAAGACATGATTTCATTACCGGCACGAAAAGGTCTGTTGAGCGAGCTTTGATGCATACTGATCGCCGTCGGCCAGCATTTTGGCTGGCTGGCTGAGTAGGTGCACACGTTCCATCGGCCATCGAAAATCTCGAAACTACAGGAATGCTACACACTCCCGACACTTGAGGCTCGCTCATCCGCTAGATTGTGTGCCCTTTCTCGTCAGCCAGAAGCTTCACAACAGCCGTATACCGCGACAACGAAATACACGGGCCTCTCGTTTGGACGTCCGATCCATCTTGCCTCGAAGATCTCAAGACTCCCATAATATTCGCATCTCTCTCACTGCTTGCCATCAGCGGATTGTATGAGACCTAGTCAATTTCATTCGGGCCGCGATCCAATACACTTGCCCTTTGCATTTCAGATCAGACCCTGGTTCCCGAGAAGATACGTTTGGACATCTTAGAACCCGCTAGCTTGCCGGGTGTCTTCTTGTTGATAACATCATGGGCTCTGCTCCGCTTACTGCCGCCCTCTACCCAGGATGCTTCTACTTTCCGACCGCATCTTGCAGGGCGATGAGCTAAGTAAGAACATCGAGCTCGGAACGATGGAGACTCGCCCAAATACCGCGAGAGAGGCCTCGGCAGGCCGTGTCATGTTCAGTCATTCTTTTCAAGATACTACCTTCTCGACTTGGCGCTTGTCGCTGCGCTGGACGCTGAGATCCCGGTCCTCGCACTTCTGCTTCCAGCACCTGTCGAGCCTGACGCATGTTATCTGAGTATTACTTCACTCAACTCGCTTGATCCGGTTAATCGTTTGCGCCAACACGAGCCACATTACGCGCTCGTCTACAAAATTGCTAGATCACCGAACAAAACTCACACTCCGGCGTCGCATCTCCGTTGGCATCAGACTTGCCAGACGGTCAGTACTCAAAGAAGATAGCACTGCACTTCCCCAATTTAGCTCCCCAATCGCGACATTCCATCCGCCCTTCGCGCCAACCGATATCCTCGTACGTTCGTTCCATCTACACCACACTTCCGACTCACCCACTCACAGTATTACAGGCAAACCGATCGCATCAACAGACAGCAGTGACCGTCCTCTCGATATTCTCTCTCCTCATTCGCCATTGTCACCATATTCTTCGCCATGTCAGCCAACACCACCCCGAAGCGCGCGGCCAAACCCGCGAAACCCCTCCTATCAGCCCCTTCTTCGCCCCTGAGCCTCGCCGCGTCCCCCTCCTCCAGTCCAACCAAGATGACCTGGGATGCCGCCAACGACCGCAAGCTCTTCCTCCTCATCTTCGGCCGCACCGTCACCCCCGCCGAATACCCGCAACTATCCAAGGTCTTCCCCGGCTCCAGCGTCGGTAGTATCAGGAACCGCATCACCGCTCTTCGGGCTGAGGCGCGCAAGATGCAGGAGGGCCTGGGTTATGAGGTAGGCGCCGGCGCGGCGGCCAAGAAGGTTGCTACTGTTACCCCCAAGAAGCGAGGTGCTGTGGTGATCAAGAGGGAGGCGGATGATATGGATCTGGATGAGGAAGACGAGGATGAGGATATCGTCCGTGACCCGAGCAAGAGGATCAAGGCCGCTGTGCGCAAGCCACAAGCTAAGAAGGACGGTAACTCAAGGAAGAAGGGTCGTGGAGGCGCCGGTTCTAGCATTCTTCACCATGGATCGTATGACAGCGAGGATGAGCTTGCCTTGATGGGTGAGGACAAAGTCAAGCGCAGGCCTGTGCCCGCTGGCGTCCCGTACAGGGTGGTCGGAGAGTCAGTCATCAGAGATCCCAGGACTGGCGATGTCATCGTTGATGACGAGGATGTCGAGGATGAAGTCTAGGTAGTGCGCCACTACCTAGGGGCTGTGAACCACCTACAATTCCTTTTAATCACAGCTCCAATTTCCTCGTATCCCATGTATTTGCGACCACCCACATTATTTCTCCTGAAAAATGCTCATATTTGCCAACGCACGTTTCCTTGTTCGGATTTGCGATTAGCTCTCTGATGAATGGTATCTGCGGCGATTGCAACGACAGTGTTCTCGCCCACCCAGCGGAGCTCTTCAAGCGGCGACATCTCTCATGTGAGGAACTTGGCTGTATAAGAGTGGCATAATATGGAAGTTGTGAGTTGCTGGTTGGCCAAAGGTTGGTCCCACACAGCCAAATATCACGTGCCAATTGTTCTTCCTTATCGATACGTTCTGGTCGAATTAAGTGAGCCTAGCACCAACCGGAACTCACCCATGGATCCACCCAAGAGAGATAGTTTATTCAGACGTCGCACTACCATGGTACCTAGGTAGGACTGGGTCACAACGACCGTATGCTTCTGCGACGCGCACACAGCAAAAAAAGATTTGCGGCTCATGACCAGATCAAAGACATCCTATTTTTTAACGATACAAGAACTTTCACTATACACGACCCGCAACGTCGACCATCCTCGTCACCCCACTCTAACGAGCCACCTCTTCGATCAGCACATCGCACTTTATACCTGGGGTGCGATAGCCATACCCGCGCATTGAAATGGCGTTCCAGGTCTCACCTCTCCAGCAGGGCCGTCAGCAACCACTCCGTTTTATAAACCCAGTCATGATCGCACAGGAAGCCATTGGTCTTTTGAAAAGGTCATTCCAGAAGATGTGCGGTCCGTCAAACCCGTGTGCCCTCGATCTTCCCGCAGAGATCATCTTAATGATCGTAGCGCATCTCGATGAATGCTCTCTAGCGTCTCTTTCGTTGACCTGCAAGAGTCTCCATGGTCTCTGGGGCCCATACAGTATGCCCCTGATACTACCAGACAAGGAGAAGCTCTTGCTGTGGCTCGAAAGAGATATCCCATACATCTATTACTGTCACCATTGTACGAAGCTGCATCGCTGGCATGGGCGCTGGAGTAGATCGATAGCTCCGTTCTACTTGGAGCGTCTACCATGCAAGCAAGATTCGGACAACCACTTCTACATCCCGATTACCTGCCAGATTCCTTACCATCATGCGCGCTTGGTCGTGAACCGACATCTTTACGGACGCAATCACGGTTTGCCTCTTCACGTGCTTAACGAACGAGCCCAGTCCTCCCATCACCCAGATGGAGTCATAGACTCGAGGTCCCAGCACGCACGCATCTTCAACCAACAACTCCTGATACTATCGACCATATCCATGACTCATCGCCGAGGTGACTCGTTAGCACTCCGAGACCACATCGACCGCGCTGGACACCTAGTGTGCAAACATCTTACTCTTCGGCGAGGATATCCTGATTCATATCCCACACCACTTCCCCAGCTGGCTAAAGGAACCGGCCCAGACGCGTTTCTGGCCTGCAGCTCTGTAAATGGATCATGTAACTCTTGTCTAACAGACTACACCATTGACATAGTCTGGCAAGGTGCAAAGAAAGGGTACAAAATCGAGGTGCTTGTTTATCGCGGGTTGGGTGATTGTCGCACACCGTTCAGCTGGCACTGGCGTACCGCTTCGCGGCTCTTTAGAGATGAACAGCCACGGCTGGCATATTCGTCAGAGTATAGGCTTGGGGGAGTTCGAGAGCAATGGAATAAAGCTGACTATATGGCGTAGATCACTGGTCGCGGATGACAAAGTACCCATGATGGATATTTTCCTCATTTCTGCGGTATTTCTGGCTGGTGAGCTCCTTCGCGCACGTTTCTGTATGTGCCGTGGAAAGAACGAGCAGCTCGCTGACCACTTCCGCGTGACCATATTTTTGGGAGTGCAGGAACGCATGGAACACTTCTTCTCATATTGTTTCGAGCGTACTAAACAGTACGAAAAGACCAATTATATGCCAAACTTCTGTTCTCTCTTACAATTGCCTTGACTGTCATGAATTGTGAGAAGTGAAATGGAAAGTTACCCCTTCCGCACTTTCCTGTTGTGCAGTTTCCAATCTCGCAATTTCCCTCCCCTGATTCCAATCGACCCTGCCTACTGACAACGCAGACATGCTTACCTGCCATTAACCAAATCGTACGATGGCAGAATGGGCAATTGCAGTCTACAGCTGCCACCTCAAAAACATCGCCAGTCCCTTCGCTCGCTGATTTCTTCTTTTCTCTCCAGGACTGACACCACTTCGAAAGACTCTTGCCTGCAATGACTTCTTCCCCAACTTCTACTCCTACTTCGACCGTCCCGGACGCGTCCGTCGCTTTTTGGTCACCGACAGGCTGTGCCCTTGTCTCGGTCGCTTTCACCATTTTGTCTTTCTGCTTCCAGCTTTACATTACTTTTGTCAGAAGTAATTTTGTTCCCCCGCAACTAAATCGGACCATGGTTGCCCTTGAGGCGATACGGGACGATTTAGGTTACCTCCGGGCAGTACAGGGCGACGTCGCAGTGTTGAGGATGGCATTGACTGCGCCTGGGCAGCCACTTGCCGAGACACTGCGGACACTTCAAGAGTTGAGGACTGACCTTCTGGCGCTGGCCGAAGATGCTCACGAGATTCGCGAAGTTGTCACGGGATTGAAGACGGATAGACAGGAGCCAGCCCTTCCTGTCCTTCTCGAGATCTTGGCTGAACTCCGGAAATCGAAAGGCGACCCGCAGATCCAGAGGGGGCTTCAGGCCTTCTCCTTCCAAGTTTTCTTGGATGCTCAAACCAAAGCCCTGGCCAGAGAACGGATACAGGCAACTCCCAATCCATTCCTTGACTTGGATTGATGACACTACGCACAGGTGGTGGGGGCGGGTTTCCTTTGGGGGGCTCGTTCTCCCCAGCGATATGCTCACACCTTACCGCGGTGCTGGGGTTCAGTACCCTCGTGAGAGGGGAAGCTAGGATGAGCATCATGTACATAATCTTTCAATTATTCCGTTCGCAGCCTATGATGAACACTACAATTGCACAAGTGATGTCTTCAATGCCCTGATCATGCGCATGCTGTGAAACTATGTTTATCATGCATGCGGCATACGATCAAAGATGCTCCATTTCTAATTTCTGGCGCAACACGAAAGCATCGGATCCCGGGTTCGAAGTAGCCTCTGGCTGACTTCGGCCCTCATCCTGAGTGCGTTCGCTTCCCAAAGATATCGTGAAGACCGTCACCCGCCTGGCATCCGTGGCGCATTCTACTGCGTACAAGTTGCTAAAGCATGATGTATTAGTACTTGTAAGGCGATTATACTCCGATGTTATCTTCAGTATGAAGCGAGGCTGAAGGCCAGGATTATACTTCCGTAGAACAGGCTCTAAGATCGCCTGCTTTCATCAGATGGCACATGATGTTGCTACCAAATGTTATTGTATTGCTCTTCCTATATGCATGTGCCTCGCCAGAAACGTTTATCAAGCTTTGTAACTCCCCCAAAGCCGGTTGCATGCCTGCGTACATGCCCTGAGTATATGCGATGCCGTTTGGTGTGTTCAATGGATTGAAGTCATTAAGATCGTGCCAGTGGTCGTAATCGTCGTGTATGTGTGGGCGAGGGCGTCTCGCTCATAGCACGAATGCCGCTCGATTGTGAGCTCCTCTCCAGCTCATGCCTTGGAGTACGAGATTTGAGGTCCCGGCAATGTGTTATATGGCACCGCTTTTGGTTGAGTCTTCATATCATGTAAATATGGATACCAGCACACAATGCACCGAGCTTCTCTCTGTTTCTTCTCAAGATGCCCTGGCCACAGTCCGCACAAATGAAGGTGTCGTAAGCGCCCTTCGTTGAACTAGCATGCAATGATGCAAGTACATCCAAGGCCATTTCGTACCTCCTTCCATGGTTGTGGATCGCAAGACCGCGCACTCGAACATGGCAAACGGTCGTCGGATCCTTGCACTGCATATCAGGGATCGCATCATCGACCGCAACAGCATATTTCCTGGGATTGGAACAGCAGGGGCCTGCATGATATCGGGGGACGCCTGTATGCACTTCCACAGAACATACCTTCGAGATTGAGCATCGGCTCACCCTCGAGAAGATCAAGGCCGACCACCTGCGCGTTCGCTATCCTGATCCGCTGAAAAACATGACCAGAGAGGTGGGAATCCTCAAAGTCAAGGATGACGACGAGCACAAGGTCGAGGCCGCTTTACCGCGGGTGAATCTTCACCACTACGGAAGCAAGGGGCATCCGCGACAATTCGATATGGAGAGGGACTACAGGAGTGGCTTCCTAATGTTCAGCCTGATACAGAAGAGATCAGGCATCCGCGTGTACAAGGAGGGTTGCACGACGGATAAAACCTTCGGTATTCTGACGAACATACACTTCAGCATGAAAGATGCGTAGTATGCACTAGTGAAGCAGGAGGTCAGAGAAACCCCCGACGAAAAGCTCAAGATCAAGGATCTCGGAATTGCCTTGGAGAAATTATAACGGCACGACATGCACTAGTGGGCCGGCATCGTTAGCTGGATCGCTGAATGCACCCCGTTCGCCGCCCCAGGCGACAGTGGTGCTCTGGTATATGCAGTGAAAGAGAGTCAAACGGTGCCCTTGGGCATACACCTTGGTCGTTTGACGTTCCGGGACAACCGCAGCATGTTCTCGGGCCTCGAAGCCTGGTTCGTGGAGGAGGAATGCCATCAGCTCAAGTTGCACTTCTGACCAGCTTGATCGTCGTCGACATCAACTATCATTCCCCGAATTACACGACACCCATCATTCCCGAATTGCACGACACCAAAACACCCATTCTTAGACTTAGATAGATGATGTGATAGCACCGGCTGAGCGGCAGACGAGAATGCTACTGATATTTCCCGCACTGAGTCTCAGCTTCGCTTGACCCCCGTTTGGCCGTCACGCGAATATCATACTAATATGAACCTGAAACCGAACAGATGTTTAAATAGGGCTTGTACGAGTCCGAGTCTTGTCTTTATGCAGGCGTCAAGCCACATGGCGAATCAAATAAAAGGCTTGCCGCGTATTATGAGCCTCCTAGTTTACACTGGCGATAAGCAATTGAGCTTCGCGGTGAGCGGCATGGTCTAGAAGGATTCTCTTAATTGAAGCTCGAGGTTAGAAAGGGCTCCGTACGCGCGCAGGTAGGCAATATACTTCACTGGGCTCGCTACAACCAAGACTCCTACACTTCACTTCCGACCCCATCAACTCATAACTCTTATTTCACACCCACAAACTATAACTAGCCCTGGACCTATGGCCAACAACAACTCCCTCGAGAAGCTCATCAACGGCTTCTATGGAGTTCCGCTGCCGCCACGACTTCCGCCCGCACCAATCAAGCGTATCTCCGACATCGCATGGAGAGGTGACGGAGTGGATCCGTTTTTCTATGGAGGCAGACTCTCAACAGAAGCGCCGGATCAGATGCAATCCAAGAAGATCTGTCGTCGTCGCACAGACCTCGAGTACCTTCGCCATGGGCATCTTGACTACTGGGACCTTGCCGTCGTAATCAGCCCGAAGTCCAATGAGAAGGACTGGATTGAACGAAGGGGAGCAATGAAGCAGGAATGGTCCATCATGCATGGCAAGCTAGCCGGTAAGCAGTCTTTCATTGCCATGACTCTCGAGGCTGATATTTCGCTCTGCAACGTCAAGATGAGCACTCACGATTACCACTAGAGAGGCATGGAATTCGGAATCCCCCCGCTGCTCGTGAAGACGCCTATCTCTCCTCCTTTGAAGTGTATCAACAAAGACGTCGAGTTTGGTGTTGGTGGGGAGGTTACGTTCAATCATTGCGTGAAGCACGGGGTAACATGCATGAACCCGCCACCTCATTGAACCTGGAGATCGCCCAGAAGTGGACCAAGGATCAGGATGTCAGGATGCATTGGGTCTATTCTTTCCCCGGAGGAGACACAGTCGAAACGGCGGGCATGTCTCACGGGCAGATCATTTTGTGATAGATCTAACATTGCTTTTTGTTCACCCAAGTCCATGATATATACCTATATATGATTGTACGGTTCTACAGCCGCCACTGATCCACTCAATAACTTCTCTTCATTCATGCCCAATGTATACTGTCTGTCCTCGAATGGAGCTGCTGCCAATGGAGTGAGCGAAGGGAATTGAACTAGTTCCGCTTAGACCAGAACCCCGCGAGGACGGTATGCAGTATATGATGTTGGCTCTGGGCTGACATCGCGGAAATTTGCGGCAGCCGACGAAGGGCGAAGACGGTGCCCTTCCCTGGAGTCGGAATTCGAGGAAGAGTCGCGAGATGTTTCATCCAGGAAAGGATTTGTCGGGCTGACGGCATGATGACCTCCGGCACTCTTCGGTACGGGATGCATTTCCTGGTTGTCTTCCAGATCCGAGTCGTCTCCTAGGCGTTGATGATGAGGTCCAGCGTGGCCAAGCTTACCATTGCAGTCATCGCAACGACGTTTGCCACAGCAGCAGCAAAGATGACGTGACAGCCACGAACGCGGCATCTTGGCGTCCGGGCCACGGACAAAGCGACCAGGATGGACTATGTTCCACACGAGGATGGCCAACCACATTGGAGCTGACTCCAAGACGTACAGGAGAGGCTCGTTGCTCGGCAGAGGGTTGCTTGCGCCAAGACCGGCGGAGAACTCGGCGAGACGGTAGATGATGCGAATAGTGATAGCCAGCAAGCATGCGTACAGCGCGGACAGCAACCACTTCCAGCCACCAATCTTGTCCGCGGGCAAGCGTCCCACCCTCTCCGCCTGGAGCTGGTCGCGGTGAAACTTGACGACCAACCCCAGAAACAGAACAATGAAGCCTTCCTGCATACCGATACCACCCATGTATATGTTCAAGCCCTTCTTTTGTGCTTCCAGACTTGCACCTGGACCTGCCATTCCCCCGCCAACGAGCTGGATGACAAACGAGACAATGTCGAGGGTGACGAAGATGAGTGCGAGGATGGAGGGGGAGAAGAACCAGACCTTGCGAGTGGGCGAGTAGAAGTGAACGATGCGGGCGAAGACCATGTAGGCGAAGGCGTTCACCCAGATAGGCGCTACCAAAACTAAGATCTGAGCGACCGTTGCAATGCCGGAGGATTGTTGGTCCTTGGAACCAAGAGCGCGAAATACATAGGCGCCAGTTTCCCAAAGAGCGGCCATGATGATGACCCAGCAGAATCCATTGCGGTACACGATTGCTTGAACCAGATGTGCGATTGTGAGCATGCCAAACAGGACGGAGAAGGCTACCGCTGCGGCGAAGTTGGGGAAGTATACCCACAACGCATTGCATGCCTCCGCAGGGACGTAGCCATCGAGTCCGGGAGTTGCGTACGAGCTGAAACCAGGCGTGCAGGTCTCAGGTGGAAGGTCGAGTGAGAGAGATGGTATGGAAGGTTCTGCGATCGATATTGTGGGAAGGTCCAACGAGAACGGCGCAATGCTTGGTGCGAAGTCGTCGTTGCGACGAGAAGGGGGAGCCATTACTGATGGCAGAGAGCTTATGACATCTCTAGCGGCAGTGGCTGGGGAGGGTATGGATGTGGCTGTGGGTGAAGCGATGCAGTGGAGGGGCAGTAAGAAGGCGCTGAGAAGCGCAAGCGCATATCTCATGGTACGAGCAGCACGGAAAGCAAATGTAGATATCTGTGATCTTTTGTGCGGGCAATGAACCCACGGATCATTTTACTGTTATACATATTGACTAAAGGAAGCTGTTGTTGATACATACGTAGGCAGTGCTGCTCTAAGGTCGTGGACAGCGAGGCTGAGGATGAGAGACGTACGCACCTCGCAAGCATGTCTCAATTGGGCGGCTGAGACACGTACTGTAGATGGCCGTTGCGGATGGGGCGTAAATGCCTTGCATAGCGTGGCTGGCGGCTGTAAGCAGCCACATATTCATGTTTGATGCTGGAGTTTCGCTTAGCCCCTGGCAGGGATCGCGAGTGCAAAAGATTTTGGGTGATGAGATGCAGCTCGTGCTGGAGAATGAATTGCCGTCGATATGGTAGTGCAATGGGTCCGATGGTGAGAGACGTTGACCGTGCAACCACTCTGAACAAATGTGCATGATGAGCGCGACACCAGGTTTGCACTCCTTGGAACTAACTTGGGAACGAGGCGGAGCGCTACGGTTAATGCGTAGGGCGCCTTACCAGTTGGGTGATGTTCGCAACCCCCTCTCAGTGTTCTGCCGCACGTTTGAACATGTCCCTCCTTCTGGAAGTAGAGCGGAGCAGACGTATCGGCGTAGAAGGTAGGATCTAGAAGCCGTTATGCGGACGCCGGTTGCGTGGCCGTTGAAATTTGCATGGCAGGGACAGGAACACGGCGCGGACAGGGGTGAGCGAGACGGACACCTAGATGAAAGCCAGCGCAATTCGAATGGAGAGCGCCGCGAGCCGCGGAGACCGAGCATGAGTGAGAGATGGAGATGAGGGTAGGGGCCTGGAGGAAGAGATGAGCGACATCGTCCACGCTAGTCCGGTTCTGGATAGGTCTGTACCAAAAAAACCATGGTGTAAAAAGTGGTTGCAGCACGCATCCGAATCCCTCTCTTCGACCGGATTACCATGAAATATCCTGGAGGTACTTGCAGACACCGATTGGCGCCGCGATAGACCGCGAACTTGGCCGTAGCGTTGAGTGCTGTCAATGCCGCAAATGGTGCCATGATGTTTGTGTTGCGCGATTGAATGTGAAAAGAGTCATCTGCGCGTACTGAAGCTATTGTGCCTCACTCGGACAGAAGTCGCAGTTTGGATCAAAGATTGAGCGTTTGCAGCGGTCACCTGACTCCACCTACGGCCCCACTCCATAATTCCCATTCGGGAGCTGGAGCGGCGGCCTAGACGACATCAATCTCTACACGACCAACGCTTTGACTCGCAACCACCCATAGCTTCCCCACGATGTACCTCGGCAGCCTCGATACCGATGCGGTATACATGGCAGCGCAGGTAGTTGAAACCCAAGGCCGCTGCCTCATCACTCGACCGGCTACACCCGACTGGGCCGGGTCATACGACTTTGACTTCGTCCTGGATCTTGACGAGAGCCTACGTTTACTCCTTGATCAAATGGAACATAGAAGAGACCACTACGGCCGTGATGCTATCGAGTCGCGTCCCGCCCATACATCGGAGGCGATCTTGGCGAAGCATTGCGGCACCGAACATGGGAAGGCGCATCGCGAGGGCAGAATGACCATGGGCGCTTCTACACCGGAGGAAGACTACATGCGGGATCTTTGGGAAGGCGTACCTACCAGATACAAACAAAGGATTCCCTTGCCACAGCTCTACCCCGACTACACCAGGAGCGTCGGCGTCGCAGCCACGGCACCGCCTTCTCACCAAACCAGCAAATCTACTGTCATCCAAAGGCACTCTCGCGGTTCAAGCAGCAGCGACACCGATGATCAAGACGCCGTCTTCTCTCGGCCACAGCGAGGTGACTGGACCGTACTGACCAGGTCGTCCGAAACCCCCAGTCAAGGTACCCTTCTGCACGACTCCACCTGCGTCCCGAGATTCCCCGCGCCTAGGGTTAAAGATGCGTCTCCATGGATGACATCTGGATGAAGAGAGCAAAATCAGAGTCTGAGTTTGCAGCGCACACGATATCGATACTTGCCGAGCTTCCGACGTCTGTGGCCGATTACGTCAAGAATACCGGAGAACGATGCGCCGAACGATTCACAAGCATTTGGGCAAAGAGTGGTACGCGGCACTTGTTTCCACAATGCTATCATGCTCTTACCGCCCTATGTCTCCATTTCCAAGACCAGCATGCGGCGGACGTCAAGTACCAGGCGCGATCTTTCGATACAGTCGAGATACGGTATGTCATTGGGTCTGGCTCACATGTGTGCGAAGAAAGTGAAGTTATCCTCTTTCTACGACACTCTCAGCTAGTAGTTGTGCTTCCTACGCGCTGCTATAATGAGCTGTATCGCTTCATGGCCTTATCACTTGCAAATAATTGGTAGTGGAGATGACGCAAAGATCTTACCAGTACAACGCACAAAATAGTCATATGCTATGAATAAAAGAGCTCCAACGAGCTCAAAGCCACAAAGCTAATTAAACCATAAACGTGGTCTACATCTGTCTCCTTCGTGAACTACTGGTGCGTCATTGTGGCCATTAAATATCAACAGAACCGGATAAGCTCACACAATGTATACGGGATCGCGATCTTAGCTCAATATTCAAGGTTGCCTAAACTGTTCTCGTTTGAGGAATACGAGAAAGCGTAACACTTTCGGCATCACCTGATACGGTATTGTATCCAGGAACTGTCTCCCCATGTACGGATGGTGGTTGTGCCCTCAAGATGCGACGAACTCCCAGTCTTGATCCTTCTCAGCTTCTTTTGCATGTCCTTTCACACCCGCATCCAAGGACCTGTTCACAGCATCTCTGCTAGCCGCCTTAGCACTGCCACTATGCGCCGACGCCATCACCGCTTTTACATCCAACTCCCCAGCACGTCGCCCCACATCCGCGGTGTCAAAGGCGCCGAGCATCCGCGCGTACTTGCTGGCTCCCTCTGCTGTCTTCTTCTACCCACTGGGTCAGCGCATAGAAGAAATTGGGCGGATCAAGTCCTTACGACGATAGACTCCACCCTGCGTCGGATGGGCAAGCGCTGTTTATGTTCCCCCACCGATTG